GAGAGAAGCTGCTCCCAGGGAAGGAGGGAGCTCAGGTCAAGCACAAGAGTGAGTTTGTTCATCTCTCCACTCAGACTACAGTTGAGAGGTTAAATATGGATAAATGCTGTAGGTTTATATATAATGTTTCCTTCTACCTATGGAATGTGTCTGAATGGTCCAAAGACACCAAAATGTTGTTAGAAACCTCAGTTAGCCAAGAAAGACAACCCTGCACTTAAAAAATAAATAAATCCTATTTAGTTTCACTACAGCCTTTGCTTAAATGCCCTCAGAAAAACAGTACCTTCGGGTGCCTTGTGAGAATGTAGCTGTTCATGCAATGGCCCGAGTCCCTCATTTCACAAGCTTTGCACTTCTTCATGTAAGTCATCAAAACTATAAAAGCTATTGTTTTTGTCTGAAAGTGTTAGTCTAAAAAGTACAGCATTACTTTATCTCCACCCAGGGAGTGGGTGCACAGACACACACTGCTGCCTAAACGTCTTCTAAAGATACTGATTACAAAGTGTATCAAACTGCGAATACATGGTCAGGATACAGTGAGAGATGAGCCATCCTCTACCACGGACTAAAACCTAGGACCACTCACTACCTGTACATGTCTATACAGCCTGGGATTCCCCAGGGACCGCACACAGCACCGCAGACCCGGCCAGAGGTGTCCCTGGCTCCAGCTCCTCCACCCTCACTGCATCTGACACATCTTTTGCCTCCAAGCAGGGCTGAAAGTGAACCCCCAGCAAGACAGCTCCTGCTGCCAGCTGTGTGAGAACCCTGCCAGGGGCTGCTCCCAGGAGGAGCAGGAGCCAAAGCCTCTCTGCTGTACTTCAGCAAGCACACGCCCTGAGCCCGTGGGCCCACCACGCTGCCCCAGGCTCTGGTGCCACAGTAGTGTAGCTGATATACTCTTGTTTAAATTCTGTTACTTTTCAGGCCCTGAGGCCATTTGGTCCTGAGTGTCCGGCACCGCAGAGCACAGGAGGAAGCAGCAGGCAGAGCCGAGGGCGGATGTGTGTTCGGAGGTAGTCGCTTCCTTCGCCTGTCACTGCACACCCCAGACCAGAGTGGTATTGGTTAGAGGCCATGCTCCAGCTCTGCCTGCTGCCCCTCCTGCCCCTGCTGCATCCCCTTCCCCAGAGCCACACAGAGAGAAGGGACCAGCTGGATCCAGGCACCTGAGCCCCCTCCAGAGCAGGAGCTGCTTTCTCAGGAGGTTTCAGAACCTGACCTAGCTCAGCAGCTGCTTGGTGCATAGCCTGGAGAAAAGTTGGAGGCACTTTGTGCATTCTCTAGCCTGGCATTCCAACCTGCTGGAAGTGCGGTGCCACAGCCTTGGAGCAGAGTGGCACCAGCATGAGAGGAGAGGCTGGACAAGGTGCAGGGACAGAGACAGGAGAAGCCTCTGGCCACCGCAACCTGTGGAGCTGTTTGAGAAAGAGTAAGGGCAACTGGGTTTGCTGCTCCAGGAGTGCACCAGCTCTCGGCCCTGTGCTCCGAGGGCTCCCGACGGGCAGCACGTCCTCGTGGGAGGAGTGGGGAGTGGGGTAACCCACACCAAGAAAAGGGCCTAGTTCTGCTATAAAAGTCTGAAGATTTGTCACTACCTTACGTGCAGACGTGGGAGAGCTGATCAGGCTGAGAACGCGGTAAAATTGCTCAGGCTGCTGCGAGTTCACCGTATGCGAGTCCCGTGACCGCGCTCCCGTGAGGAATCGGAAATACCAAGTGCACTGGAAAAAAGGGATTGTCAGAAAAAACAGAAAATAGAAAGACTACAAAAGCAACATTACTGAGTGGGAAGTGGACTGAGCTGACTGCCTCGCCGGTCACACAGTGGTCTCTATAGTCTCGATGACCTCCATCTCGCACTGGAGCTGGCACTCGTCCGGCTCCCAGCTGCTGTCCGGGCTGTAATCTTCCTCGGAGCTCAGCTCGGCCACCCCCTCCGTGTCCTCGTCACACGACTCCATGTAGTGAACCCCCAGCGCGTTGATCCCGGAGTCCTCGGAGCTGGAAGGGGACGAGCAGTGCTCCGGCTTTGGCGTATTGCTCTCCTTGGAGATGAAGGCATTGCGTGCGGCCTCCTGGGCCCTGCTGCCGGCGGGCGGCTGCCGCTGCACGTAGCACATCTTGCCGTTGATGCACTTGACACGGTAGTTGTCAATGAAGAGGTCGGCGATGGTGCAGAACTGGGGCGACTCGGGGGGCAGCGGCGGCTGCAGGATGGGCGCGAACTTGAGGAAGTGTTCGGTGAGCGACACGGAGATCTGGATGGTGTTGGTGGACTCACGGGGCCGCGCGGGGATTTCTGTGCTGGGGAGCTGCTCCACGGGCGTCATGGGCTGATAGACGTATTTACCTGGGGGGAAATGGGAAAGCAGTGCTTAGAGAGTGTTGTCTTCAAGGAGGACCGAAGCGACCTCGTGGTGCCCTTGGCCGTCAGTAACCACCAACAGCTCCCTGCAGGCAGCAGCTGCTGCTTTCAGTGGCCTCCAGGTGTTCAGTCCTCTCCTGGAATGGATTCTCTGACACGTAATACTGCAGGTGAGCACAGCGTTCCTCACCCCAGTCCTGCTTCTCTCCCTGTCCCTGCCTTGAGGACATCTGTAGGGCCTCACTAACTCCACACAAGTACCTCCACAGCCAAGCAGTGGGACAGACCCCAAGCTTGCCCACACCCCTTCCTAGGAGAAAGAAGAATGACAAGATGCTCATAGACTTTATCCTCCCACTGAACAGAGCAGTTCTAGCTTACATCTTTGCTACAAGGATCAACGTTTCATTCTGTCATTATTACTCTGAGTCTCCCTGCATGTATTTCCATGTTCTTTGTTCCTGGGGCCTAAATCCTGTTTTTCCATATCATAAACCAGAGCTCATACATGACTGCAATTAGAGTTTTAAGGCAGAAAATAAGGAAATTTCCAAGCTATAGAAATGCTTTTGGCATCTTGATTATCTGGTTAAGCAGTAAGAAAATAGGATTATGTTGGTTATATTGAGCAGAACAAAGTGTGAACTGAACATCTTTACTGAAAGAAATAAATAAGAGAGCAGAAAATTGGGACCATGTTAGGAAAAACTGAGAAACCTGAGGCTATGCCCAGGACTGTAAAATGCTGCATTCTATTTGCATGAAGCCTCTGAAAGATTCATGTCTCCCTAGGGGCTCATCCGCTGGGAAAGCACAAATTTCCAGCAGACTTGTGAGTCATGGGGCTGTTGGAAGAGTTCTGATGCACCTCCTGCTCCACACAGGCCCCAGAGTGCTGAGGGGATCTTCGGGCACCTGACACTCTCCTGGTAAGGAGCACAAAGTTGTCACATTAATGAATCTGGAAGTGCCAGGCTGAGATCTGCCATGTGCTGCTGAGGTGCCATGTGCCCTGAGGGAGGTGTTGTTCTTCTCCCCATTCCTTTGGGGAAATCCCACAGTGGTTTGTGTAGGAAGGGACCTGAAAGCTCATCTCGTTCAAACCCCCTGCCATGGGCAGGGACACCTTCCACTAGCCCAAGCTGCTCCAAACCTCAAGGAGGAGCTCACACCCCCTGCCATGCCCCTCTGCAGTAACATCCTGCTCAGCCTGGGAATCACAGAATATTAGAATCAACCTGGTTGGAAGAGACCTCAAAGATCATCAAGTCCAACCCTACTGTGGTGGCCAGACCATGGCACTAAGTGCCACATCCAGTCTCATCTTGACAACCTCCAGGGATGGTGAATCCACCACCTCCCTGGGCAGCACATTCCAGTGCCCGATCACTCTCTCTGTAAAAAATCTCTTCCTCCTCCTTGAATCCCACATCAAACGCCTTCTCCCTGTGGTCTGTGGAAAGGCAATTGCTAACAGAGTGGCTGGAAATGCTCAGTGACAACAAAACAAACCTTTTTCCCCACCTGTTCAAGGCTGGATGACAAAGTATGGAGCCATCCTCTCCCCTTGCCATCTCTCTACCATACCATGGTGCAGTTGCTAAACCTGCTGTGACGCAGAGAATGAGGTGCAGACATCCAGCAGCTGCTCACTGCAGCCACGGGCACAGCAGAGCCCTTGGGGGCAGCAGCACCCTCCTTGGCTCTGGCAGTCACTGAGCAATGGGGTCTCAGGTGTTTCTTAGATCTAGCTGACAGAGGCTCCCTGAGAAGCTCTGGCCCTCCCATCCTGCTGTCACAGCCGCCACAAACAGCTTCCTGCCACGCGCTGCTCCCCAGAGCCCTCCTGAGAAGTTAGTGACCAGTAACTGTGCCACTGCCTGGCAAAGCTGCATGGCAGATGATGCACTGCTGGCTGGAGCAGTGTCTGGTGAATTCACACAGCACAGCCTGCACTTGCCTGAAACAACACCGCCCTATCTATCCATAGATCCGGAGGGTTTCCGTGTGGGCTCCTCTCCCAGTCCGCTGGCAACTGGGGATAAAGTAGATAGTGGTGGAAAAAATATCTCAACTCTATTTTGTGTCATGTCTATTTGAAGCATCCAAGGAAGGCCCTGGTGAAGATTTTAGCAGGATCAAGGCAAAAAAAGGTATCTGTATGACAGGATTCTGTTTTCCCACTCAAAACAGCTACCACGTGCTGGCAGAAGGCTGGGGAGCCTTGGGAGAAGAATGCAGGGGATTTACAGCACAGGCACAGGATGGTGAAGCAAAGACTCAGCAGTTAACAGTTTTTCTGTTGGCTCCCCAAGAGGTGCTGGGACTCGGGTGTTTGGCCACTGCGGCAGCACGTGGCAGCTCTCTGCAGGGCTCAGAACTGCCCTGCTGGCACTAATTGCAGGGCAGGAGCTGCTCTGCTAGCAGAGGATTTCAGAGCCTGAGTGACCTCACAGAGGCTGAAACCCTCTCCTCACGTTCCAAGGACAAGCTCTGCCAGGGTAAAGCAGGAATTCACTGACAGAAGAGAGTTTAACACACAAACTGATTTCTACATTTCTTTAGCATTTTGGTAGAAGCTTGTCAAGTTTCAGCTGGTTTTAGGGACAAGTTTGTTCATTTTAGACAGATTAAACTTGTTTTAAAACCTGAGCAGGTGCTCAGAGTTGGGACTGTCACACTGGATCACGGACAAAGCTGTGCTCACAGCCTTGGCTACCACTCCTCACCCTACATAATGCATGGGAACACGTCAGCCAGGATGCAGCCTATGAAAAATTAATGCAGAAATTTAAAAATAAGGTTGTCCCTCGCCCCAGCAGAGCTGCCAGGGATGGCTGTGCCACAGGAAATGGTCCCAGAAGTCTCCAGGTTCTCTGGTAACCCCCCTGGGACTGAGAGAACACCCAGGGAAATCACCGGCCTGGCTGTGCTGGCGCTGAACAGCTGGCAGCAGCCAGTGACAAAGCAGCGTTTGAGCACCTATTCTGATCCTTCCTGTTCAATAGGCTAGCACGGAATTTATTGCCTATTTATTCCAGGCAAGTGGGCTGGGGAACTCTGCGACTGTGCTGATGAATGCTCCTGCAAATTACAGTGTTTTGCACAAATACAGATGCCAGACGAGATGCTGCAGCGCAAGTGTTTCCTGGGTCACTTGTCACCGCTGCCTACGCAGAAGATGGTGGAGGAAAAATACTGCACGTGTCAAACACACGTCCAAAAATCAAACTCCGAGTCCCGTGGAAAGCAATTTGCTGTGTTTGCCGAAGTTTGGGAAGTTCTCAAGCCCTGTAAGAGCTGCTAGGGAGAAGTCTCAGAGTTCTGGCTCTGCAGATCCACCATCATGGGAAAAAGACTCAGACGAACTCAGAGCCTGTTCTCCTCCTGGGAACAGCAGCTGTGAGAAACTAGGCTCTGCCAAAGTGATTTTCATGGTAAGTCTCAGTTATCATGACAGCCACGTGCACACAGGTGAGATGATGAAATGAGACCACAACAGACCTCAGAAGTCACAGGTCTGGAGGCTATGCTTACACCCCAAAGCTGCTCCAGTGCTTTGCTTCCAGCTGCTCCATCTCCCGAGGCATTACCCACCCCCTGTCTGATCCATGGCAGCGACAGCAGCTTGAGCACAGCTAGAAAAGGCTGATTGTTTCCCTGTTTTTTCCTCATTCAGCTGACCCTTGTGGACCCACAAACCCCCAACCCCCAGGGACCTGGCACACACTGAAGCTCACACTCTACCGCAGAGCAACTATTCTGCTGGGCCCAGGGAGGAAGTGCTGGGCAGTGCCCATCTCCCTGCTGCTCTGTGCACAGAACTACAACTGCTGCTGCCAGAGCAGATGGATGCTGCTCCCCAGAGCCTTGGCTCTGTGCCTCCAGGGAGCCTGCCAGCAGGCAGGATCCAGCACAGCAGTGAGCTCTGCCATCACCTGCACATCTCCACCAGACTCCTGCGACTCGGAAAGTGTTTTATGACTGTGGCACTGATGGCCAGGACCATGTGGCCAACTGACCGGAATTCTCCTGCTTCCAAAGGCCCAAGTCAAGCCTTGAGAAGCAAAGCATCATTTCTTTCTGATGGTTTGCTAATTGGGCAGTCTGCATGCATCCCCACCAAACAGGCAGAGTGGCAATTTCCGTGGCTAACGCAAAAGAACTTAACCATGAAATAAGCAGAGGTGCTGCTGGAAAATGCTGTTCTCCAAATCCCTCCATCCCAGCATCCTGGTTACCTCTGACACTCATTATCGTGCTTGGCATATGGAAAAAATACATCCATCTTTCAGGAGTAAGGTTGCTCATAACAAATTCTCAAGCTTTATCCTCTCAAAATGCTACCTTGGAGGACCTTAGTCCTAATAAATAACAACAGGAATTGCATTGCACTTCAGGAAATGGTAAGAGAGAGCTGTAGATCTTGTGAGCCCAAGGCAGCAACACATACCATGGATCTGTGCATGCAAAGCATTCAGACATCTATTAACTGACACACAAAAGCTTTTTCTCTATGTATTCTTCCCTCTGCAGCTGCTTGAACAAATATTTCTTCACCCTCCCATCTGCCAGCTCATCTATCTCCAAACATCAGCAAGGTTAATGAAGACCTGCTACTTGTACACTACTGAACGTGACCTGGCTCAGCCTGGGAACTGCTTCTGTGTGGGCTGAGCACTTGTGGCGGAAGCCCCGAGCCAAGGTGGGCTGGAGGAGGACAGCTCTGATCCCAGGGGGGACCTCAGTGCCTCTGGCTGTGCTGTATGCCCCGGAGAGGCTGAAGCTGTGACCCCAGGGCAAAGAGCACAGGCTGACACTTAGGCCCCCAGGAAAGGTGTGTGAAGGGTGTATGCCATCAGCTCCCGTGGCTCAACAGGGCAGTGCACACCTGAAATGTCAGTGACTCGGTGCTGCTTGAACCTACACCTGTGTAACAGCACCAGGGATCCTCCACTGCAAAGTCAAATGGGAGCC